CCCTCTGCCCCTCCCCTCCTTGCTTGTGTGCACTCGCTCTCACTCTCTCTCTCTCAAATACATAAAATCTTAAGGAAAAAACCCAGAAGGGTCAGGATTATCCTTCAATTTACATATTAACACCCCGATTTTGAGTAAGAAGAAAAAGTGAATTTGAGAGTGCAGCATGAAGAGAGGTCCCTGTAAGTGGATGATGGCTAGCAGAAAGACAGCCGAGAGAGAGGAAGGAGTCTAAGACCAAGACTAGCCTAGAGACCTCAGGAGAGAAGGGTAGGGCACTGAAAATCTCTATCTAGGCACAGACAGCTCTTTATAATGTCCAGTTCTCTTTCCTGTTCCCTACCATCATACTCATTTCGTTTTACTTTTATAAACCTTTCATTCACTCTACTGAGTATTATGTGCCAATCATCAAGTTAGTATCAGGGCTACAAAGATAATGAGAAAGAGTATTCCTTTTCATGAAGATATTATACTGGGAGAAGAGGGAAGCAACAAGTAACCATAAAACAGTAAAAATACTATTAAAGGAGTGTACACCAAATACTATACGGTCACAGAAGAATGAACTGCCTCTGACTACAGAGTTAAAAAGGTATGTCTTGGGGACAACTGCGTGGCTCATTCAGTTAAGCGTTTGCCTTCAGCTAAGGTAATGATCCCAGAGTCCTGAGATCAAGCCCCACATTGGGCTCCCTGCTGAGAGGGGAGCCTGCTTCTCCCTCTCCTTCTGCCACTCCCCCTGCTTGTGCTCTCTCGCTCTAATAATTTTTTTTTTTTTTTTAAGATTTTATTCATTTACTTGACAGAGAGAGACATAGCGAGAGAGGGAACACAAGCAGGGGAAGTGGGAGAGGGAGAAGCAGGCTTCCTGCTGAGCAGGGAGCCTGATGCGGGGCTCGATCCCAGGGCCCTGGGATCATGACCCAAGCTGAAGGCAGACGCTTAACAACTGAGCCACCCAGGTGCCCCAAAAAAGGTATGTCTTGAAAAATAATAGAAAAATAGAATTTGCCTGGGGCGCCTGGGTGGCTCAGTTGGTTAAGCCACTGCCTTCGGCTCAGGTCATGATCCTGGAGTCCTGGGATCGAGTCCCGCATCGGGCTCCCTGCTCCGCAGGGAGTCTGCTCCTCCCTCTGACCCTCCTCCCTCTCATGCTCTCTGTCTCTCATTCTCTCTCTCTCAAATAAATAAATAAAATCTTTAAAAAAAAAAAAAAAAAAAAAAAAAAAAGAAAAATAGAATTTGCCGGATAGACATGGGCAGAGAAGGCATTCCAGATAAGAGCTGCAGAATATAGAAAAGGATACAGATAAGAGCCAAACTATGCAGAGAATGCTATAGTAAATTTGGGATGTCATTCTGTAGGCCACAGGGAGCTAAATTTTATCATAGGGGGTGACCTCAGAAAGAATTCTGCAGTCCACATTAATTATAACATTAATATGATTACATGTTATCACAAGGTGTCAGTGCCCATTCACTTCATGTTTCTTATGTGTCTTATCTAAATTAAGATTTTCTTAACAGCAAGAACCACCTATATCTTAAATGAAGACTTTTTTTTTTTTAAAGATTTTATTTATTTATTTGAGAGCGAGAATGAGAGAGAGAGAGAGCATGAGAGGGGGAGGGTCAGAGGGAGAAGCAGACTCCCCATCGAGCAGGGAGCCCGATGCGGGGCTCGATCCCGGGACTCCAGGATCATGACCTGAGCTGAAGGCAGTTGCTTAACCAACTGAGCCACCCAGGCGCCCTTAAATGAAGACTCTTAAATAATAATAATACTTACTGAATAAGAAAAGGCTGAGGTATTTAATAGTACAAACCAAATGCTAAGCTGAATATCACTGTTTTCTAAATGTTTTGTCCGTAAGTCTTTGTTTTTTAAAACCTCATTCATGGTGTACACCGTATCATAAATTCCTTTTATATTCCATTACCCAAACCACAACCATATGTGTATATAATACACATATATACACACACAAATACATTATTTGGGGAAGGTGAGAGAAGCAGCTTACTGAAAGCAGATTGATAAATCTTTATATATCATATACTTGTTCCTATGTAAGAGAAAGTTAGAGGAGTTGAGAATCAGAACAGAAAGCATAAAACATGACAACCACTATCTCTACCCACTACTGCTACTATCCCATCATTTTAAAGGGATAAGGTGGGGGGTGGAGATGGGAGGAAAAAAGAAAGCACAGATATATTACCTGATAGCAATGGAAAAGATGCTTAGTCTGCTTTCAAGAGCATATAAAAAAAAGACTTGAACCTTCTCTGTTATCACAGAGAAAATATGTGAGCTCATGGTATAATGAGAAAATTTCAAGGCTGTAGATTTTTCCCAACATCAAACCACTGAAGTACAATCAATTTCAAAACAAATTACCACCTGTTCCTGGTCAAACTGTTAAATATTATTACTAAAGCAAAGACAAATACTAACAGCAAAATAATCTCCATGATTTCATGATTCTTACCTGTTCACTCTCCTAGGACACTTGTCTGGTTTAATGTCTACCTCATAGAGGTAGACATCAATCTTTGGGATTTCAACTTGAAAACAGTTAGCCAGCAATTTAATGGGTTTGCCCATGGTGCCATAGCCAGGTCTTCTGGGCACCATGAGTAGGGGCTGGGCCCCAACAGGTCCTGCCAGGGAGAGGGAAAAAAAAAAAGAAAGAGTAACACTGTTATAAGCTGCATTTGATAATCTTGTCAATCAGAATATATTAGAATTTTAAGTATAGCTGATAATGGTTGAAGCCTAGTGCTGAAAGATGGCATTTCTAACACTTCAACATTTTTCTCCCCAAATTACTCTCCTCACTTAAATAGATTTACAAACAAAAAACTGGGTATCTCTGGAAAGTTGTTTCAGAAGGGGTAGGAAGAAGGGAGAGCAATCACATAAACCCAGGTGAGCATGAGCAAGCACAAACCAGACCCAAAGAGTGTGAGACCAACAACAATGTAAATTTATTTTTTTTTAATATATATTTATTTTAGAGAGAAAGTGTGTGTGAGGGGAGAGGGGTGGAGGGAGAGGGAGCTAGAATCTCAAGCCGACTCCAGGCTGAGCATAGAGCCCCATGCAGGGCTGATCCCACAACCCTGAGATCATGACTGGAGCAGAAACCAAGAGTTGAACACTTAGGGACCCATGGGGTGGCTCAGTCGGTCAGGCCTGCAACTCTTCATTTCAGCTCAGATCATGATCTCAGGGCCGTGAGATTGAGCTCCAAGTCGGGCTCTGCACTCAGCATGGAGTCTGCTTGTCCTCCCTCTGCTCCTCCCCCCGCTTACTCATTCTCTAATAAATAAATAAAATCTAAAAAATAAAAAATAAAAAAAGAGTTGGATGCTTAACCAAATGCCCACCCAGGCGCCCCAACAACATAAACTTAAAGTACAATATAATAAGGATAAGAACAAATGAACAAAATACAATATGATATAATAAAAGGATCAATACAATAAGAAAAATCAACAAAGTGCAAATTGGGTATTTTAAAAATTATTTGAAAAGATAAATAAAATTGATAAACTCCAGGCAACACTGATTTTTATTTTTATTTATTTTTAAAGATTTATTTGACAGAGAGAGACACAGCGAGAGAGGGAACACAAGCAGGGGAAGTGGGAGAGGGAGAAGCAGGCTTCCCACAGAGCAGGGAGCCCGATGCGGGGCTCAAGATCCCAGGACTCTGGGATCATGACCTGAGCCGAAGGCAGACGCTTAACGACTGAGCCACCCAGGCACCCCAACACTGATTTTTAAAAGAGAAGGATGGGTGCCTGGGTGGCTCAGTCAGTTAAACCTAGGACTCTTGATTTTGGCTCAGGTCATGATGTCAGGGTTGTGGGATCCAGCCATGTAGGACTCCACACTCAGCAGGGAGTCTGCTTTAGATTTTCTTCCTCTCCCTCTGCCCCACCCCTCTCCCCCTCTCACGTGAGTGTGTTCTCTCCCTCTCTCAAATAAATAAATCTTTAAAAAAAAATAAAAGAGGAGGAAAAACAATATAAGTGAAAAAAATGCTATCACTACAGACACTGAAGGCGTAACACTATGTCAATAAATTTGGTGAAACAAATTACTAGAGAAATACAGGTTACTGACACACAAAAGTATGTAAAATTTGGAAAGTCCTCTGTTGGTAGAAATATAAAATGGAAAACAATATTGTGGTTCCTCAAAACATTAAAAATAGAATTACTCTATGATCCAGCAATTCTACTGCAGTGTACACACCCAAAAGAATCTGAAGCAGAGTGTTGAAATGATAACCATATACCATTGCTCATAGCACCATCATTCACAACAGCCAAAAGATGGAAGCAACCTAGTGTCCACTGATGGATGAATGGATAAACAAAATGTGGTATATACATATAATGAAACATTAGTCTTAAAAAGGAAGGAAATTCTGATACTTCTTTAACAGAGATGAACCTTGCAGATGTTATGTTACATCACAAAAAGACACTGTATGATTCCACTTATTAATACCTATAGTAGTCAAATCAGAGAGAAAAAGTGCAAGGGTGGTTGCCAGGGGCTGGGGAAAATGGAGAATGGGGAATTGCTGCTTAGTGGGGAGAGTTGCAATTTTGCAAGATGAAAGAGTTCTGGAGATTAGTTGCACACAGTGTGAATGTACTTAAATACTATTGAATTGTACACTAAAAAATTGCTGAGATGGTAAATTTAATGCTATGTATACTTTGTGACATTTAAAAAAAGTGACATCCAGCATTAAGATTTTTTTTTTAAGATTTTATTTATTTATTTGACAGAGAGAGACATAGCAAGAGAGGAAACACAAGCAGGGGGAGTGGGAGAAGGAGAAGCAGGCTTCCCGCTGAGTGGGGAGCCCGACGTGGGGCTTGATCCCAAGACCCTGGGATCATGACCTGAGCCCAAGGTAGACACTTAACGACTGAGCCACCCAGGGGCCCCAGCATTAAGATTTTTTGGGGGGGGGTACCAAATTACTTTATTTGAAGAATGGTACAAATGAAAGAAGTTAAGTAGATGTTTTGGTACAACTTACAGAAAAGGTAAAGGTAACCCCAACATGCATGCACTGCCTTGGTGACCAGGGAAGTCATCCTATCTTTGTGGCTATGGGAAGACAGCCTAAGGCTTAGCTCTCACTATTACTGTTTCCCAAGGTGTGCTTGTCAAAGAGATACTCTGCCATGCCAGATTCGGGAGCCCCCATCTTGCGCAGGTTGGTTATGTGGTCACCCAATTCTTTGATGGATTTCACCTGCTCATTCAGGTAATGAGTCTCAATGAAGTCACACAAATGGGAGTCATTTTTATTAGTGGCCAGTTTGTGCAGTTCCAGTAGTGACTGATTCACGCTCTTTTCCAAGTGTAATGCACACTCCATTGCATTCAGCCCGTTCTCCCAATCATCACGGTCTGGTTTCTCGATATCCTGAAGGAAGATTCAGCCACCTCGTTGGTTCTGCAGCTTCATCAGTTTCTCAGCATGTTCCCTCTCCTCATGAGATTGGTGAAGAAAATATCCGGCAAAGTTCTTCAAAGCCACATCATCGCGGTCAAAGTAGTAAGACATGGACAGGTAGACGTCAGAGGCGTAGAGCTCCAGGTTATCTGGCGGTTGATGGCGGCCTCCGAGTCCTGGTGGTAGTTCTGGTGCATGTGCGAGGGGGACGCGGTCGTCAGGGCGGCGGCGGGGGCCTTGGGGCGGTCCGAGGGCGCTCTGAGGAGATGGCGGAGGGCTGGCTCCGAGCCGCTGGCCGGGATGGGGGACGAGCGCCGGGTTCCGTCCAAGCACTGTTGAAGCAGGAAACTGAGGCGACTCTCGGCGGAGGCTGTTCCCAGCATTAAGATTTTAAAGCTCAAAATGCAGCTTTGTTACATGAAGTTCAAGCAATAAATTCAGTTAATAACTATTATCTGAATGAACTTACATTTAAAATATCTGAAAAGTCCTGTAACTATAGCTGTTGAAAAAATGAAATCTACAATCAAAAATATTTCCAGGGGGCACCTGGCTGGCTCAGTCAGGAGTATATGCTCGGATTGTGAGTTTGAGCCCCATGTTTGGTACAGAGATTACTTAAAAATAAAATTAAAAAAAAAATTTCCATGCATACATTAAAGATTCCAGATCCATATGGTCCCACTATAAAATTATAGCAAACATTAAAGGAAAAAAATACTGGGCGCCTGGGTGGCTCAGTCAGTTAAACGTCTGCCTTTGGCTTAAGTCATGATCCCAGGGTCCTGGGATGGAGTCCCACATGAGGCTCCCTGCTCAGTGGGGAGTCTGTTTCTCCCTCTACTCCTCCCCACCGTTTGTGCTCTCTCTCTGCTCACTCTCTCTGTGCTCACTCTCTCAAATAAATAAAATCTTTAAAAATTGTAATAATAAAAAATAAAGGAAAAAATACTGATCTTATACAATCTCCCACAGAATAGGAAAAAAGTAAATATACCCCAATTCAACATACGATGCTAGAAAAACTCTGATACTAAAACCTGACAAAAACATGAAAAAGGAAAATAAATGAAATCATAGGACAATACCATTCATGAATATACCTGCAAAAGACCTAAACAAAATGTTAAGTGAATCTAGCAATGTATCAAAAGGATACTGCATCTTTTTTTTTTAAGATTTTATTTATTTGACAGAGAGAGCGAGAGAGGGAACACAAGTAGGGGGAGTGGGAGAGGGAGAAGCAGGCTTCCCGCTGAGCAGGGAGCCCAATGCGGGGCTCGATCCCAGGACTCTGGGATCATGACCTGAGCCGAAGGCAGACGCTTAACCACTGAGCCACCCAGGCGCCCCAGGATAATGCATCTTGACCAAGATGAATTTATTATCAGGAATTAAAAGTTGGGTTAACAACAACTCTTTTTTTCACTTTGGATAAAAGTACATTAAAGTGCTGCCTATATATATATATATATTTTTAGTTTTGTTTTCATATATTTGTAAAACCTCTTTTGAGGACATTACCTTTCCTGTTAACCTAGATAATACTGATAATATCCTAGGTAACATGGAGTAATTCTAGACTAGGTCACAGTTGTGGCTCTGCCATTTACCTAACCACTTGACCTCTGTCAAGTATTAGTAGCCCTGAAACTCCTATTTTCTGATCTATAACATGGGAATAATACCTGATCTGCCCCTTTCTTGTGAATCTTATCAGGATCAAATTAGAAAATGTACAACAGTGGGGCACCTCGCTGGCTCAGCTGGTTGGGCATCTGCCTTTGGCTCAGGTCATGATCCCAGGGTCCTGGGATGGAGCACTGCATCGGGCTCCCTGCTCAGCAGAGTGTCTGTTCCGCCCCTTCCCCTGCTCATGCTTGTGTGCTCTCTCTGAAATAAATAAAATCTTTAAAAAATATATTTTTAAAAAGAAAGAAAATGCACAATAGCTAAAATGTATCAAGCTCTTACCATATCTCAGGCAATGCGCTGTATGCTTTATATGCATTATCTCATTTAATCTTCATACAAACCCTACAGTGATTTATAGATGAGGAAAAGTGAAGTGATTTGCCTAAAACATCATAGCAGGCAAGTAGGAGAACTGGGATTGGAACCACCCTGTTGAGCTATTTTGTTCCATTGATTTATCTGTCTATCCTTTCTCCAGTAGCACACTGTCCTGATTACTATAGTTTTATAGTAAGTACAGTTTTGAAGTCAGGTAGTGTCAGTCTTCTGACATTATTCTCCTTCAATACTATGTAGCTATTCTGGTTATTTTACCTTTCCATACAGACTTTAGAGTCAGTTGATACCTACAAAATAACTTATTGAGATTTTGATTGGGATTATGCTAAATATATAAACCAAGTTCGGAAAAACTGACATCTTTACAATATTGAATCTTCCTATCCATGTACATGGAATATCATCTCCTTATACATTTAGGTATTCTTTGATTTCTTTCATCAGAATTTTGTAGTTTTCCTAATATCTCGCACATACTTTGTTAGATTTATACCTAAGTATGTTGGGCAGGGGTGCTAATATAAATAGTATTGTGCCTTTAATTTCAAATTCCAATTGTTCATTGCTTCACTATAAGGTTACAATTAATCAAGACAGTGTGGTATTAGTCAAAAACCAAAAGATAAGTAGAACAGAAAGTCCCAAAATTGATCCACACAAATAAAATCAACTGATCTTTGACAAAGGAATAAAGGCAATTCAATGGAAAAAGGATAGCCTTTTTCAACAAATGGTGCTGAATAAGGGGATAAACACATGCAAAACAAAAACAACAAAGAAAAAAAAGCATCTAGACACAGCCCTAACATCTTTTTCAAAAGTTAACTCAATGGGGCACCTGGGTGGCTCAGTTGGTTAAGCATCTGACTCCCGATTTCTGCTAAGGTCATGATCTCAGGGTCATGGAATCGAGCCCCTCGTCAGACTGTGCTGAACAAGAAGCCTGCTTAGGATTCTCTCCCCCCACCCCATACCTGCTCTCTTGCACGCACTCTCTAAAACACCAACCAAATAAAAAACCTCAAAATGGCTCATAGACATAAATGTAAAATGCAAAACTATAAAACTCCTAGAAGAGAACACATTTGAAACCCTAGGTGACTTTGTGTTTGGTGATGACACCAAAAGCACAATCCATGAGATAAAAAACTGGTAAGCTTTCATTAAAATTAAACTTCTAATCTGCGAAAGAGAATAAAACACAAGCCACAGAGTGAGAGAAAATATCTGCAAAACACTTAACTGATAAAGAAGTGGTATCCAAAATACACAAAGATCTTTAAACTCATCAATAAAAGCAATTAAAAATAGAAGATCTGAACAGATACTTCACCAAGATATACAGATAGCAAATAAGCATATAAAAAGATGCTCAACATCATGTCATTAGGGAATTGCAAATTTTTTTTTTTAAAGATTTTATTTATTTATTTATTTCAGACAGAGAGAATGAGAGACAGAGCGCATGAGAGGGAGGAGGGTCAGAGGGAGAAGCAGACTCCCTGCCGAGCAGGGAGCCCGATGCGGGACTCGATCCCAGGACTCCAGGATCATGACCTGAGCCGAAGGCAGTCGCTTAACCAACTGAGCCACCCAGGCGCCCGGGAATTGCAAATTTTTAAAAAAAAGATACCACTACACACCTATACGAATGGCCAAAATCCAAAATACTAACACCAAATGCTGATAAGAATGTGAAGAACTCTCATTCACTGCTGGAGGGATTGCAAAGTGGTACAGCCACTTGGGACGACAGTTTAGCAGTTTCTTATAACCTTGTTATAAGTGATAAAACTAAACATACTCTTACCATACTATTCAGAAATCATGCTCCTTGATATTTACCCAATTAGTTGAAAACTTATATCCAACAAAAACCTGCACATGAATGTTTACAGTCATAATTGGCAAAACTTGTCCTTCAGTAGGTAATGGATAACTGTGGTACGCCCAGACAGCAGGATATTATTCATCTCTAAAAAGAAATGTATTATTGAGCATGAAAATACATAGAGAAACCTTAAATCCATACTACTAAGTGAAAGAAACCAATCTAAAAAGGCTATGTACTGTCTGATCCAATTATATGACATTTTGGAAAAGGTAAAATTATGAAAACAGTAAGATCAATGGTTTCCAGGGCTTCATGGGGTGGAAGGAAGATTCCAAAGTTTTATGGGGTAGAAGCAAGGAATAGGTGGAGCACAGGGGATTTTAATTCTACTCTGTATAGTACTGTAATGATGGATACATGTCACCACACATTTGTCAAAACCCACAGAATGCATAACACAAAGAGTGAATCCTAATGCAGACCACAGACTTTAGATAAGAATAATGTATCAATATTGGATCCCTAATTGTAATAAATGTAACAAACTAAAGCAATAATAAGGGGAACTGGTTGGAAGGGGAGTAAGGGGGTATATGGGAATGCCTGTTACTTTCCAATTTTTCTATAAACTCAAACTCCTAAAAAAATCTATTAATTTTTAAAAATGCATGTGCACTTTGACCTAGTAATTCCATTTCTAAGTATTTATCTACACATATACTTCCACATGCAAAAAACGACATTTGTACAAGGATATCCTTGTCTGCAGCATTACTTGGAATAACAAAAAACAATGAAATGTGAGCCCAATGAGGGTGGGAGTTTTGTCTGTTTCCTTCACTGATCTATAATGTCCAGAACCATTCCTGGCATACAGTAAAAAAATAAAATGTGTTAAATAAATGAGATGAATAAATCAGAGCCCAATTAATGTTACAACTATGCAATGGAATATGTAACTAACATTAAAAAGAATAGAAAAGAAAAATAGAGAAGCTCCTTAGTATCAATAGATAGTAATATGAAAAGATATGAAAAAAACAATGCAGAATAGGGTATATAACACATGTTCATTTGCATGAAGAAACAGAATATACATTCTTATTATACATATATAACATACAGTCATATTATACAGTGTACATACTATTGTCCACCAAAGTAGTGGGAGCAATGATTGTCTTCAGAGAGGGAACTAGATGGCTGGGGGCCTAAGAAAGAAGATTGATTTTTTTTTCCCTGTATAGTCTATTCTGATACCTAATACTTGTTTCTGTAACACAAATCAGCATATATGCAATTGTAAGTAGGGAAATTATGTCACTTTAGCACAGATGTTACTTTGGTTCATATGTGATTTTCTTCAGCTTGTTAATGCTTTTGCATTACCAAGTGATAGCAGTTGAATACAGAGTACACTAACAATGAATACAACAAACAACAGAGGAATACAGTGTTGTCCGTGATACTCATTACATGTAAGGTCTTCCCTCTGGTTCAGTTTGGCCACATGCTTGGACTCAGAATAGCTTTGGCATGA